AAAATTTCACAGAATTCAAGAAGGAAGACTTCCAAACTTGTTTTATGAGGCAAGCATACTTCTAATTCCAAAACCAGAAAAAGACTCTACAAAGAAAGAAAACTACAGGCCAATATCCCTGATGAACATAGATGCCAAATTCCTGAGCAAAATACTAGCAAATCGGATCCTGCAATACATCAAAAAAATTATTCACCATTACGAAGTGGGATTCATTCCAGGGATGCAAGGCTGGTACAATATTTGCAAATCAATAAATGTGATACACCACATATAAACAAAATGAAGAATAAAAACCACATGATCATATCAATAGATGCTGAAAAAGCATTTGACAAAATCCAGTGCCCATTTCTGATGAACACACTCAGCAATGTGGGAATAGAGGGATCATTTTTCAACATAATAATGGCCATATATGAAAGACCTACAGTCAACATCATACTCAACAGGCAACAACTGAAAGTATTTTTCTTTAGAACGGAAACAAGACAGGGATGCCCACTTTCGCCACTCTAATTTAACATAGTACTGGAAGTCTTAGCCACAGCAATCAGACAGGAAGAAAAAATAAAAGGGATCCAAATTGGAAAGGAGGAAGTGAAACTGTCATTATTTGCAGATCACATGATATACATAGAAAAACGTGAAGACTCCATAAAAAATTTACTAGACTTAATAAATTAATTTGGCAAAGTAGCAGGATACAAATTTAACGTAAAGAAATCAGTGGAATTCTTATACACCAATAATGAACTCACAGAAAGAGAAACTGAAAAAACAATCCCATTTACCATCACGGCAAAAACATTAAGATACCTAGGAATAAACTTAACCAAAGAAGTAAAGGACCTATTTGCAGAAAACTATAGGTCATTGAAAAAAGAAACAGAGGAAGATATATAAAAAAAAAAAAGTGGAAGCACATACCTTGTTCATGGATTGGAAGATTTAACATCATTAAAATGTCCATATTACCCAAAGCAATCCATAGATTTAATGCAATCCCCATAAAAATACCAACGACATATTTCACAGAACTAGAACAAATACTTCAAAAGTTCAGATGGAACCAAAAAAGACCCCCAATAGCCACAGCAATCTTGAAAAAGAAGGACAAAGTGGGTGTGATCACAATACCAGATTTCAGGTTATACTACAAAGCTACTGTAATCAAAACAGCCTGGTACTAGCAAAAAACAGACGTATAGACCAGTGGAACAGAACAGAGAACCCAGAAATGGACCCAAGACATTATGCTCAATTAATATTTGACAAAGGAGGCAAGAGCATACAGTGGAGTAAGGACAGCCTCTTTAATAAATGGTGCTGGGAAAATTGGACAGCTACATGCAAAAAAATGAAAGTAGACCATCAACTCACACCCTACACAAGAATAAACTCAAAATGGATAAAAGACTTAAATGTGACTCATGAATCCATAAAAATCCTAGAAGAAAATGCAGGCAAAAAAATTTGAGACATCATACGCAGCAGAATTTTCACTGATACATCCCCTAAGGCAACAGAAACAAAGGAAAAAATGAACACATGGGACTACATCAAACTAAAAAGCTGCTGCACAGAAAAAGATACGATCATCAAAATGGAAAGGCAATCCACTGTATGGGAGAGCATACTTGCCAATGATATGTCACATAAGGGGTTAATTTCCAATATATATAGAGTTCTCATACAACTCAACAAAAGGAAAACAACCCAATTAAAAAATGGGCAGAGGAGCTAGACACCCCTCCAAACAGGACATACAAATGGCTAAGACACATATGAAGAAATGCTCAACATCACTAATCATCAGAGAGATGCAAATTAAAACAACGAGGTATCACCTCACACCTATCAGAATGGCCACCATCAACAAATAATCAAACAACAAGTGTTGACAAGGGTGAGGAGAAAAGGGGACTCTAGTACACTGCTGGTGGGAATGCAGACTGGTGCAGCCACTATAGAAAACACTGTGGTGTTACCTGAAAAAATTAAAAATTGAGATCAAGATGTCGATGGGCAGGACCAGAGGGAGGGTGAGTGTGTGAGAGAGTGTGAGTGGACTTGAAGATGGATGACCAAACTCCTGCAGTGCAGAGACGTGGAGCAGAAGGTTCCTATGCTCTGGACGGAGCAGCCGGCTACCATGTTATGGGGCCCTTCAGGGCGCTTCTCCCTGCACCACGGGGAGGTCCCACCAATTTGGACGATCCCGGCTCTTCCCTGGGAAGTGGCAGTGGGAGCGGCTAGGGCCCAGCAACCTGAGCCACCAGCACACCTATCACCATGGGACCAGTGGACACTCTTGTGTCAACACAGACCAGTGCACAGTAGTGGAGCTCCCAAGGTGCAGGTTGTAGAAGCTGCAGACAGCCTGGAGCCCAGCACCATCCCCCATAGTAGCAGCCGGATCAGAGTCTAGATATACCCCCAGCAACAGGGGCTGGGGAGCAGACATCCATCCCCAGGCAACAGAAGCACAGACCAGCAGATGAGACCCATCCCCAAAAACTTCAGCAAAAGCTGAGCAGAAGTTGAGCCCCATAGGGCAGCAACACTCCCCAGCTGCCAGTCAGTGGCTGTACCTGGGGCTCCACAGAGGCCTGTGCGGTCCAGCAGGTCACAACAGTAGTGGGAAGCCAGAGCCCGAGAGAGACTTGTACAATCCAACTGCCCGCCCATGGGACCTGCGGGGGGGTGGGGGGTGGGGAACCAGAGAGGCCTGTGCGACCCAGCAGGGACTGTGTGATCCAGTTACTCACGGGACCAGCGGGGTACTGAAGCACCAAAGAGGCCTGTGCAACCCAGCAGAGACTGTGTGATCTAGTACTGGCACAAGAACAGGCAGATACATCAATGGAACAGAATAGAGAACCCAGAAATGGACCCAAGACAATATGCTCAGTTAATATTTGACAGAGTGGGCAAGAGTATATAGTGGAGTAAAGACAGCCTCTTTAATAAATAGTGTTGGGAAAATTGGACAGCTACATGCAAAAAAACCAAAAAAAACTAGACCATCACTTATACCATACACAAGAATAAACTCAAAATGGATAAAAGACTTAAATGTGACCCATGAATCCATAAAAATCCTAGAAGAAAATGTAGGCAACAAAATTTGAGACATCATACGCAGCAGAATTTTCACTGATACATCCCCTAAGGCAACAGAAACAAAGGAAAAAATGAACACATGGGACTACATCAAACTCAAAAGCTTCTGCACAGCAAAAGAAACAACCACCAAAATTGAAAGGAACCCACTTATGAGAGAGCATAATTGCCAATGATACATCAGATAAGGGGTTAATTTCCAATATATAGAGAGTTTGCATACAACTCAACAAAAGGAAAACAAAAACCCAATTAAAAAATGGGCAGAGGAGCTAGACACCTCTCCAAACAGGACATACAAATGACTAAGACACATATGAAGAAATGCTCAACATCTCTAATCATCAGAGAGATGCAAATTAAAACAACAATGAGGTATCACCTCACACCTGTCAGAATGGCCGCCATCAACAATTCATCAAACAAGTGTTGGTGAGGGTGTGGAGAAAAGGGGACTCTAGTACACTGCTGGTGGGAATGCAGACTGGTGCAGCCACTATGGAAAACAATATGGTGTTACATCAAAAAATTAAACATTGAACTTCCATTTGACCCAGTGATCCCACTTCTAGGAATATACCCTAAGAAGCCTGAAACACCAACCAGAAAGAATATATGTACCCCCATGTTCATAGCAGCACTATTTACATTAGGTAAGATCTGGAAACAGCCCAAATGTCCATTAGTAAACGAATGGATAAAAGCAGTGGTACATATACACAATGGAGTATTATGCAATTGTAAGAAAGAAAGATCTCTTATCCTTTGAGACGACATGGAGGGACCTGGAAAGTATCATCCTAAGTGAAACAAACCAAACAGAGAAAGACAAGTATCATATGATCTCACTTATTTGTGGAATATAATGAACTTAACAGTCTGAGGAATGGGGTGGTCCCAGAGATGTGGAAGTGGGGTACAGACTGACAATCCTCAGAAGAGGGGGTGTGGGAGGGAAGAGATAAACCACAGAACTTATATGCATGTACACATAACCGATGGACACAGACAACAAAGCCGGGTATGAGGTAGGGGGGATGGGGAGGAGGTTGTCAACGGGGAAAAAAGGAGAAATATCTGTAACAAAAATAAATTAATAAAAAATTTAAAAAATAATAAAAAGAAAAACACTTACCTAAAAGTATTTTCAGTGGTATTGTGAAGCAGCTTTGTATTAATGTTAGAAGGTGAGGAACAAAAAATAATTATTTATCTAAGGTTCAAAGTGATATGGTTTTTAAGAATATACTTCTGTTTCCTATTTTTGGTTTAACTTAGGAAAACTTTAAATTTAACTCATAAGTGTATATCTTAATGGAGAGTGGAAAGCAACTATGAGATAATGACAAAAACACTTAAATCTTATTTTTAGCATTGGAATGCTGTTAGAGAGATGAATCAGAAGTACTAAATATTCCACTTCATGTCTGGCCTTGTCATCAGTTGACAATCTGAGATTCATGTAGATCAGTGATTTTCAACCCTTTTTATCTCATGACATACATAAATTAATAACTAAAATTCTTTGGGCAGAGGAGCTAAAGAATTTTTGCAGCCCACCAAAAAATACATTTTTTGCTGATCTGACAAAAAAAAATAGATACAGTTTCGATTAATTCACACTGGATGGCTATTGTTGTGTCGGCTGTTGTCATTTTTTTATTTGACAAAGGGAAATGAGGTCAATGCCCATGACTAAGTAGTCAGGTATTGCAGGTTTTAACAGTTCTTGTAGCACACCAGTTGAAAATCACTGAACTATATAACTGAGGAAGTGAGGAAATGTGTGTGAAGTTCGTTATTTGGCTTCTCTCTATAAGAGCAAATCGATGTTGAGGACTGGACATTTTAAGATATTCCATTTCTCGTTACAGAAAGCTGTGTGCCTGCACACGTGGTGGCCGCCATTGATGTAAACCATGTCGCTAATGAAGTGTACAAGTATAATTTTCCTCACACACAGTTACTGGCCAAGACAATTGAAGTGAGTAACTATTACTATTGTTTTAGTAAGTATATAGCAAGGAGAATGATTGAAAAACATTGCATGGTACTAGTATCTTAATTCAAGGATAAGGCATATATAAATGAAAAGGTCTAGGAAAAGGGAATTAACAGTTTATATTTTATCAAATAATAACATGCTATTTTTGCCTTACTATTTTTTAAATTTCTAGAGAGAGAGAGGGACAGAGACAGACCGAGACCAGTATTTTGGTCTCTGGGAAAGAACTGAACTAGAAGAAGATGCTTGATTTCTAAATGCTTGGTTCTGTAATTAAATTAAACTTTGCTTAATTCTTTACTTTTAAGCAATACTCATGTACTATGTATATGGATAGTATAGCAGGAGTGAAAACAAGACAGGCAGGCAGTCACTGGCTATTACTTTTTTTGGGGTGAGCAGGAAGAAGGACATCCAAAATTTATTCTCTAACAGACAAGCATCAGCATTATTAGCTTAACAATGAGACAACCTCTGGGGTGTTCACTAGCAATACCCAGTTCACAGTATGAACGGGTAGTATTATTGTGTTCACTTACAATTCCAGAAAGAAAGACACAACTTGGCAAAAATTTTTGCTATTATTTCAGCAAGCCTGTCAAAATTAAAGGTACTAGTTCATGTATGACGAGCTTAGCAGAAGTATTTAACACTGAAGTACATCAAGTTATTTTAAAAATAATATGAAATTGTGTTTTTTCTCCCTATTTTTTGTGAAAAATTTTACACACAAATTTCTCTTGAAGCCATCATTTATATACAATAAATTGCACTCATTTTAAGGATGCAGTTTGAGTTTTGACCAATATATACAGCAGTGTAACCACCACCATCAGAATCAAGACTTAGAACATCCATCACCCTGAAATGTTGTGCCCTATTTTAGTCAGTCTCTGACCCCAACCCCAGAGAACCCATTGATCTGCTTTAGTCATTACAGATTAAATTTTTTAAATAAAACATTTTTTTCATTAATAAAATCATAAGTGTAATTTTTTGGTGGATAACTTCTTTTTAGTGTACTGTTTTTGAAATTCTCCCATATTTTATGTATATCAGTAGTCTGCCCTTTTTAAAATTACTGCTGAGTAATATTCTGTGGAATGGATTATATATTATAATATGTATATCCATTCATATGATATTGATAGACATTTAGGTTTTTTTTCCAGTTTTTTGACTATTACAAAAAAGTTACCATCAACATTCATGTACAAGTTTTTGTTGGACCTTTGTTTTACTTCTTGTGGATAAATACCTAAGAGTAGAATTGTTGAGTTATATGGTAAATTTCTTTACCTTTATGAGAAAATGCTAATTGTTTTCCTTTGTGTTTGTACCATATTACAATCTCACAATGTTTAAGTGTTTGAGTTGTTTCAGATTTAACTAACACTTGCCATTTTCAGTCTTTTACATTTTAGCCTCTCTGTGAGCATATAGTGTTATTGTGATTTTTTTTTTGTGGTATTGTGAGTTTAGTTTGTATTTTTCTGATGATGAACAATGTTGAATATCTTTTTATATGCTTATTGGCCATATCTATGTCTTCTGTGATGAATTTTTTTGCCCTATTTTTATTATTTGTTACATTTGTATTATTTAAGAGTTGTTTACATTTTCTGAATTCAAGTTATTTATTAGAAATATGTATAACCCTGGTTGGTGTGGCTCAGTGGTAAGAGCATCACCCATGGACCAAAGAGTTCTGGGTTCAATTCCAGCCAAGGGCATATATCTCGGTTGCGGTTCATCCCTGGCCCTGGTTGGGGTTGTGCAGGTGGCAAGCAATCAACATGTCTCTCTCTCTCTTTTTCCCTCTCTCCCTCCAGCTCTATCTGAAGATTAATGTAAAAATGTCCTCGGGTGAGGATAAGAAAAAGAAAGAAAGAAATATGTATAACAAGTATTTTCTCCACTTTTGTAACATGTTTTTTAATTTTCCTTAACTGTGTTCATCAAAATGCAAAAGTCATTTATTACTTTTTTCTTTAATGGGAAACTTTTTGTGTCCGAAAAAAATCTTTGTTTACTCCATTTTTCCCTGTTTTCTTCTGAAGTCTACTTTTTCTGATATTAACAAACCACTTCTGCTTTCTTATGATTAGTGTCTGTGTGTATATATCTTTCCATGCTTTTAATTTTATCTTATCTGTGTCCTTTTATTGAAATTAGATTTACTATAAACATCATACAGTTCAGTTTTGATTTTTTACTTGTCGAATCTCTGCCTTTTAATTGGAGTGTTTGTACCATTTACTTTTAGTCTTATTGGGCTTAATTCTATTACATTGTCATTTGTTTTCTATTTTTCTAATCTTTTATTTTAATCATTTTACCCTCTTTTTCTGACTTCCTTTTGAATTTTTAATATTTCATCATTCTCCACTCTTGGCTTACAGGTGTATCCAATTATATATCTGTTTTTATTTTCTTAGTAGTTCTTCTAGGGTTTCCAATATGCATCTTTAATTTATGGGAACCTGCCTTCAAATATCATTATAATACATCATGTATGAAGTACAACAGTGTACTTTCATTTCACCCTCCTGTCTGTTTCGCTGTTACTATCATGCATTTTACTGCTACAGGTGTTACACATCCCAGAATATGTTGTTGTTGTTGTTTTTGGATTAAGTAATCAAATATTTATTGAAAGGTTTAAAAAAAGACAGGAAATATTTTATATTACATGCTATATTTTCTGCACCTTTCATTCTTTTTATTTATTTATTTATTTTTTAACTCACATTAGTTGTCTGCATGTTTCTCTTACCCTCTAGATTGTACACTCTTTGAGAGCAAGAGTCTTTTTTTAATTTTTGTTTTTCGTAATTGATTTTTAGAGAGAAAGGGAGAGGTAGAGAGAGATAGAAACATTGATGAGAACAAGTCTTTTTACTCTTATATACATGGCAGCACATTACACAGTTCTTTGCTCATCACAGGCACATCCTTTAGGTTTTTGAGTAAATAAATGATTGAACAAAATTTAACAATATAACACAAAATCCAGAATATTTTCCTCTGCCATCTTCTGCCTGAAACCTTGTACTAGTTATAACTAACTTGTAAATGGCCAAGTCTTTCCAGGTGCTGATTTTTCTCCCACCAGTTTAACAGTACCCAAGGTGACCTCAGGGGAGGGAGGAAGAAGAAATGGCCTGAAGTCTCTACTTCCCTAGCTAGGACTAGAACCGCAACCCCAGCAATGACCAGGACACAGCTTTGCCTTAAGATCAGCACACACCTCACTGACTCACTGGAGGCACTCGTGACATCTCTCAACTGATGGTCAGATTCTGGACATCAGTTTTGGCTCCAAGGTGCTTTCTTGATACTTCATACCTTGCAGATTTCTCTGAACTTAACTTCTAGACTTTTAAGAGGCAGTTGCAGCATCTCCCTGATTTGACAAGTCCTAGGTTTTGCTCCAAAATCCATACTCTTACCAACTAGCTGTCTGCTGCCTCACTGAGCCCCATGTCCTGGATCCTTCAAAGCACCCTCGTGCCAGGTGCCAGTGTCCTTTCATTCTTTTTAAATGAAAGTTTTCATGTGACATTCTCTTTTTTCTTCCTGAAAAACCTCCATTAGAATCTCCTGTCATGGACATTTAGCAGGTGACAAATGATCTCGTCTCTTTTTGTGTAGAAATGTATTTTGTCTCCATTGCGAAATATAATTTTTATTTACTCCTTGGTTGCACTGTTGTTGTTGTTTTTCAGACCTTTTCATAGCATTCTATGAATTTTAAAAATTTCAGCAGTTTTCATTGTTATCTGGTTTACTTAATTTCTGACTAGAAGTCTATAATATTTTTATTTCTCCTAATGTAGTGTTTATTTCTCTGGCTACAATTAATATTTTGTCTCTATCACTTGTTTTCATGAATTTCATTTTGATGATGTTCTTCATATAATTTTCTTTATGCATACTGCATGGATCTTGTACTTTTCTTGTTTCTGGTTTTCATCAAATTTGTGAAGGTTTTGGCTATTATAGCTTCAAATATTTTCTCTGTCCCCTATCTTCACTTACCTCTGATTTTATATGTGTGTTTCTATGTGTTTGTGTGTGTGTGTATACATATATATACACACACACATATATATTTCCTTCATATTGTTCTTTTGGAAGCATATTGTATTGCTGTATCTTCAGGGTTTTGTGTGTTTTCTTTCATTGCGTAATTTTTCATTTCAGTTACTTTTTCATTTTTAGAAGTTTCAATTAATTCTTTTTTGTATTTTCAATTTTTCTCCTCATGTTTTTTTTCCTTTAGGTCTTTGAACAAATTGATGATATTGATAATGACTGTTTTATATTATTTTGTTTCTCTTTTTTAAATCCTCACCCAAGGATATTTTTTTATTTTATCTTCAGATAGAGTGGGAGGGAAGGAGAGAGAGATGGAGAGAGAGAGAAAAAACATCAATGTGAGAGGGACACATCGACTGGTTGCCTCTTGCATGACCCCGACCAGGGCTGGGGACGAACCACAACTGAGGTACGTGCCCTTGACTGGAATCGACTCTCTTTAGTCTGCGGGCCGATGCTTTAACCACTGAGCCAAACTGGCCAGGGCAATAATGACTGTTTTAAAATCTTGGCTAATTCCATCATCTCTCTCATTGCTGGGTCCTTTTCTGTTGATAGATTCCACCCCATATTTGAAAAAGGATAGAAAGTTAATTGAGAATTTAGGAGTAATGAGAGGCTTTAGGGATTTTAAATTTTATGAAACAACATATACTCATCATTTGAACATTTGCTTTATGCAAGGCATTCAGCTTCTCAAGGGAAGTCAAATATGACTAAAATACAGTCTTTTCCTTTAAGAACTTATTATTTAGTACAGAAGTTGGATTTATAAACTATTTTCTTTGGGACAGCTGAATGTGGCATAGAAAATAGATTTCCTGCCCAGCCAGTGTGGCTCAGTGGTTGAATGTCGACCCATGCACCGAGAGGTTGCT